AATATCTTTTGGATTGTTAATGGCAATTAGAAAATTCTGTGATATTGGTGCCAATAAGATGGAAAATAGCAGTTAAAAGCAGGGTGGAATTCTTCCTTAGGACAATCTTGGTGTAGCTTCATCTGTCATGTGATTTCCTCCATCCTTGCTCGCTCACCTCTGACAAAACCAAGCCAAAATATGTGACAAAAATAAACAAACCTGGTTTATTTATTTCTCACTTAAAATTAATTTCAAAGAAAGATCGAGGCAGCCTTTGCAGCGTTATTGTGGAACACAAAAAAGGAAAACCACTCGTGTTTTTCTGAAAATTATTAATATCAAAGCAAGATTGAGGCGGCCTTTTCAGTGTTATTGTAGAACACAAAAAAGAAAAACCACGCATGTTTTCCTCAAAACAATTTCAAAGAAAGATCGAGGTTGTCTTTGCAGCATTATTGTGGAACACAAAAAAGGAAAACCACTCGTGTTTTTCTGAAAATGATTAATTTCAAAATAAGATCAAGATGGTTTTTTTAGCATTATTGTGGAACACAAAAAAGGAAAACCACTCGTGTTTTCCTCAAAATTATTAATTTCAAAGCAAGATTGAGGTGGCCTTTTCAGCGTTGTTGTGGAACACAAAAAAGGAAAACCACTCGTGTTTTCCTCAAAGTGATTAATTTCAAAATAAGATCAAGATGGTTTTTTTAGCGTTATTGTGGAACACAGAAAAGGAAAACCATGCGTGTTTTTCTCCTCGTTCCATCCCAGTGGAGCCTCTGGAGCTGAGCTGAACCATTTGGAGCTCAGAGGAGAATCCAGCCCTGCTAAAGAAGGCTTTTCCTGCTCCTGCCCTCCTCCTGCTCTGCACCCCTCAGGTGTGAAAATGCAAACAAAAATCCCTTCAGTGATTTTACAATCTGCTCCTTAACATTTACCACTACCAAAAAAAAAAAAAAAAAAAATAGGGAATATTTTGCTAACTCTGCATGCAGATATTGTTATGCATCAGAAATTTCTGCTGTTTTCTGCGTGCGTTTATCTTGCTGTGGAATAATCTTTCTGTGGCTGGAAGGATTTATTTTTTTTCTCCCAAATAAGAAAAACACCTCCCAGAGGCAAAACACCTCTCCCAGGGTGGGGATTGCAGAGGCTTTGGAGCATTTCTGTGGTGGTACAGCCCAAATATTCTCTTATTGAACTGAAAATGAGGGGAGGTTTTGTACCTGGCTGAGCTGATGGGTTTTTGTCATTCCTAAATATCCCTGAGAAGCTCAGGTGAGGTTTTCATCCATGAGGTTGAAGAATCATCCTGGAATCCTGGAATTGTTTGGGTTGGAAGGGTTTTAAAGCCCATCCAGTGCCACCCCTGCCATGGGTAGGGACATTTCACCCATCCCAAGGTGATCCAAACCCACTCCAAACTGGTCTTGGACACTTCCAGGGATCCAGGACAGCCCCAGCTTCTCTGGGAATTCCATCCCAGCTCCTCCCCACCCTCCCAAACTGGAATTTCCAAACCACTTTTGATTTAGTAACGAATTTCTAAACATTTAATAATTACTGTCTCGCCTTCAGACAGTTCAGCTTCTTCAAAGTTGCTGCATGGGAATAAATTAACAAAAATTWAAAACCTACAGAAAGTTTCGTATCTCAGAAGATACTAAATGCTGAGTTGTATCTTAAGAAATGTTTTGTCCCCAGTCCAGGAAGAATTTTTAAAAAAAAAAAAGAGAAATCAAAACAGATTCTTCCATTTGAGCAGAGACATATGTTTGGTGGGTTGGCACCAGACTAGGATGCAGAATCCTGTAGAACCAACTCTTCRTACTCCGGGATATTTAGAGGAACAACATTCAAAATAAGGTGCTGGAGAAGAGCAGAAAAATAGAAAAAAATTAAAAAGGAGAAGAGGGAGAACCTGGAGGGCAGCACGAAGGGATTCCAGGTGCTCCTTGAGATCAGGAAGGGTGTTCAGGATCCACAGGGAATGGGAATTGGAGCACTCTGGGTAAGTGGAAATGTCCCTCCCCATGGCAGGGGGTGAAATGAGATGATCTTTAAGGTCCCTTCCAACCCAAACATCCTGGAATTCTGTCTGCATCAAATGTCTTTAGAAATCACACTGTAAATAAAATCATGGGGTTTTTAACAGCATTTTAATCTCATCAATAAATTCCCATTAATTGAAGGTGAGATTGTAATGACTCTTTCTGGTTTTTAGGGCAAGGAGCATAAAATTATATGAAAATAAAATCTAACACTYGGGTGCCATTCAAAATGAACAGGATCAACCCAAACATCCTGGAATTCTGTGGAATTGTGTCTGCATCAAATGTCTTTGGAAATCAGACATTATAAATAAAATCACGTGTTTGTAAACAGAAAGGGTTTTAATCTCATCAATAAATTCTCATTAATTGAAGGTGAGATTGTAGTGACTCCTCGTGGATTTTAGGGTGAGAGTGATAAAACCATATGAAGAAAAAATTAATCATTTGGGTGCCATTCAAAATGAACAGGTCCAACCCAAACATCCTGGAATTCTGTGCAATTGTGTCTTCATTTGTTTCTGCATCAAATGTCTTTAGAAATCAGATGCTGTAAATAAAATGTATTTTTATACAGAAAGCATTTTAATCTCATCAATAAATTCCCATTAATTGAAGGTGAGAGCGTAGTGACTCCTCCTGGTTTTTAGGGTGATGATCATAAAATCATACGAAGAAAAAAATTAAACATTTGGGTGCCATTCAAAATTAACAGATCCCAAGAAAATTCAGCATATTCCCTTGAAAGATGTGGTTAAACACAGAAGAAACATCTTCCCAGAGCTCCAAACCCTTGGAGAAGGCTTCGAGGTTTTGAGAACAAAATTAATGATACCCCTACAATTATTGCAGTTGTTCTSTTGGAGGGTGATGATTAAATCCCATCAGAAATAACATCTGCAGTGGGAGCAGGGTTGAAATATCTGCGCTGTGGTTGTGCAGTTCACAAAGAAAATAGAAAATATCATCTACTGACACAAAAGGCAGCGTRAGGATGATTTACTTGGCAGGCAAAGAAATAAAATCAGATCTTCTCGTGGCACGTAAAAATATGGGGAGGTTAAAACGGAACGGGAATTTTGAAGAAATATAGAAAATATTTCTGATATTTTCTGCTAGAAAATTTCAACACCAAATTAYGTGAACAAAGTCACTTTTAGGGAAGAAAAAGGCTTTGAACCGCTCTGGAGATTCCAAACAAGAGATGTTTAAAACGTCACCGTGAAATATC